GCAGCCTGAAATCCACTTCCTTAATCCTCCTTTTGTAATGCACATTTTAATTGGCACCATCTGGGATTAGCTTCATTTTAATTACTTATTTCCAGGTACATGCAGTCTTAGATCCTCAGATTTGGGCCAGTCTGCCTGGAAACTATTCCAAGTTTGGGACTGCCATGAACTATATTGAACACTGGGATGACAGATTTCAAGTGCTTGAGAGCAGACACAAGACAGGAGCAAAAGTGACCCATCAGCAGACACTGAAGTTAATTGCAGTGTCATTTTTTTAAGGTCATTATTTCTGCAGCACGGACGGCCTGTGGGCTGTATGGTCACAGATCTGGCTCCGGTGCCTGGCTGAGTGATCCAGCACAAATGACCCGATTTTCCTAGGAATGCAGAGGGAGTTTGCTGCAAGCATTGCTCCCATTGGCCACAACAGAAATCACGCTCGTAAATCCCCTTCTCTTAGCACCAAACTGGTCAGAGGGAGAATTATAAATATCCAGCCTTTCTAGCCCGTGTAGAGATCTAAGGGAGTAACACTGAATGAAGCAAGGACAGGCTGCAAGCAATGATTTCCTATCACCTTCTCAGTGCAGTACGCAATTTATTTGTCAGGGCTATTTTTATTCAGTCTTAGACATAAAAAATGCTTCAGTCTTAAAACACTTTTCCAAGGCCATAAACTATCACATTTCCCAGCACGAAGAGCATCCAACTATCAAACCATATAGAAAGTTGTGCTAAACATTTCATGAAAAATCTATTTCATGGAAAAAACTTACAGCATCTCAGCATTTTTTGCTCACAGCTGCTTACCTGATAGACACCACAATTCACTTCTGCAACAGCGTGCCTGTTTTCAGATACCAGTCACGGTAAGGTTACAAGCCTAGCTTAATGCATAGTAAAGCTTCTAGCCACTCCTGAAATAACTGTGTTTTGGCTGACAGTCTAATATTATACTTAGATCCATATCAGAAAGCCAGCACATTCCACTCGGGTATGTGTTGATAGCTGCAGCAAGATCAAGGGTGCTTCTCGGGGCTCTGACGCCCTATGAAACCATTGACAAGACGTGATTCCATGTAGAGCTGCATTAGAGACCTGGGTATGCAATAGCTAAATTTTGACGAATAGGGCATGTCGTAGCACAAAGTTTACAGCTAGCTCATCAAAACGCAAAGTATGACTTTTACTTCCATCCATGCCATAATCTCACATCAAAGCCCAGCAAATATACTATTCGCGCCAGGATATTGTGACGTCTTCTTAAAAGAATACCTAGTGGGGGTTAACAGACAATATACTCGCAGCTCGGAGACTCTTGAAGATCTGCTTTTCACTCCAGGTGCTATCAAATGCCTGATGGATGAGCATTCCTGAGTTCACTTCACTTTCAGGACCTCATCACTTTTCCAGATGCAAAACAAGGATAAAAACATGTACTTCTTTGTAAGGCCTGCAGAGATCTACTGAAGGAAAAGAGCAACAGAAAAATTAAGCATCACTCAAGTCGCCCATGAGTTGTAGGAGGCTTAGCATACAAGACAAAATTGTTGTCATTAATTACCCCATCATCTGCGCCTCTTGATCAGGATGAGAGCATAAAAATCAGCAGAACTGCTAACAGAAACACTCCGCCGTCGTGAAAGGGGAATTCACTGAAAGGATCTGATTTTAAAGGCACCAGAGATGCTTCCCCCTGCCATCTCCAATACCACCCGTTCTACCCGCTTTGCAATTACCATCAGCTTTAAGATCTCATATCACTGCTGGCAGGCCCAAACTGAAGTTCACAAATTCTCAGCAGAAGTGGCACTTGCTTACTTGCCTGCACAGCTCTTGTCCAGTAAAAAGAAACTACAGAACAGAATTTCTCAGCAGACTAAAGCACTGATGTGTGCACTGCAGGAGAATTCATTTGGTTCAATCTGACCACGTTTGCCTTACTTCCTATCAGCATGCTCAGAATAGATGTTGAATATGATGCCTTTTTCACCATAATACACAAAAAATATCCTACATTGACCTTATTAATAGCTCTTAATTCTTAAAATCCAAATTTCTGCAGTTTCACTGAGGATTTAGCCAAGAGGAACTCCTGCCTGATGTTAAAAAGTGGTGTATTTCCCAGCAGAAAGGAGTACCTAATTGGTTTTCTATGGTTATTCCATGGCTGATTAGTCCAACATACACGTGGGAAGCCGTCCCCTCTGGGATGCCTAAACACAAACTGTCATCAATGAATTAACTAGAACCAAACCCATCCTTAACCTACTTGGAGTGATATTTGCAGCGGAGAAGTGTTTTCATCTCAGTGTAGCACGAAGAGTGACAGCAATCGGACAAAACAGGAGATGGCAACAGACAGCCCTCCCTGACAGCCAAATAAGAAACAACAATGCTGCCAGATCTAGTGTAACGGCTTAGTTCAGTCCTCTAGCCAGGCTTTCAGCAAGCTACAGCCTGCTTTCAGAAAATAAACGGCATCCCCTTAGGTGTGGAACAGAAAGAGCCTTCTTGACAAGCGATCCCGGCTTCCTCTCTGTAGGGAGCACCAGTGAGACAGCCTCTGCTCCGCGCTCTCCAGTCTGAACCGGGAAGCATGGCAGCAGCGGCAGATGCACACGTAGGCTGGACACATCCGCAGCCCTTACATTCCTCTTCGAGTCACAACTCTCAATACCTTTCTTCAGTAAAGCCCAAGCAGCGCCAGGGAAGCGCAGCGCCTGCTGTCCTCTCCCAGCCTGGGAAGTGCTTTGCCTGTTTGGCATCTTTCAAACAAAGCTCACTATCAGCGCTGCTAATTCTGCGCCCCCAGCAACAGAAGATACAGTGGCCTCCTAACCCCAGACCTCTGATCACAACACACGTACAGCTAAGATTGTCTAAAGCAGCTTTTCAACACCGTGTAGTTCATTAAAAGAATGTTTAGGCTTAAAAGAAATTAAATCAGTGTTACAGGACATCCACAAGCTCCTACCAGAAAAGAAGGTGTTTTAAGGAGCAGATAGCTGGGCTCAGCCTGGGCAGCAAAATTTTGGCGAAAGATACTGAAATAGCCTCAGTTTAATCAGATGTCTTTAGGATGCCACTGCCAAGTCCTTGTAAGTAATAGAAAAGAATTTCACGACTGGGTGCAATGTAACCATGTAAGGGCAACTCTGTCCATCTTGTACAGTACAAGTACAGTTCATTCCCTTTCATGGCTCTAGATCTGAACTATTCCTGTCGCAGGAAAACAAAGGACATTTTACATCACGATACTAGAAAATGTAACTCAAAATTAATTTTTAAAGGGACACACATTCTCCCTTGTTATGATTCTGCAGAAAGTTTTATAAAACCTAATGCTCTGTAATTTCTTTCCAGTGAAGAGAATGTGAACTTCAGGATCCCTTTGTCATAGCACTAGTCCATTTCCAGTTGAACCACACTTTAGGATATGGCATCATAACATTTCATATCCTTGTTTTGACAAGAAATTAAAATGTTTTGTCCAATTCAATTTTCTGAACTTCTGAAACACGTATGGCAGCTGTATTATGTAGCAGAAAAAAAGTTATAAATTTTAAAGCATAATTCTTAAATATACAATTAAGACAAGAGTGTATATTTCATTTGGTATAGTCCTATTCTAATGGACTCTTCTGCTTAAAAAGACATTTGAGAGACCTCAAGCTCATCTTGAGCTTTTAACCTCCGTTCGTTTTGCATTATGGGGGAATTCCACTGAAATCCACATGGATGAACAGAGTCTCAGAGGATTAGGAACAAGTCAACAATATTTAAACTCTTTGCTAAACTAGGCATTTATCAGCAGTAAACAGTTACTGATTTTATTTAAAGTTCTACCCTAATGCCAAGGCAGGAGCAGCTAATTTAAGATATGGCAGTCATTTAAGATCAAGTCCAATTAAAACTTATCTCCTGTTACTGTGTACAAAAAAAAGTAACGATGATTGGACTCAAGCCAAGCCTAACTCTCTCCAGTTTGGAGACAGTATTTGTTTTTCCAGAATGTGTTTTCTGAGATTTATCTGCTGGAAAAATTAATGATTTCCAGGAGAATCACAACTAACAGTCTCATTTTCTTTTAGATGCATCTTTCATGGCTGACTTTGATGTAAGAAGACAACAGTAAGTCCAAAATAAGTTTTGGCGCTTTTTTGGGTGGTATTTAGAAGGCACCTCTTTTGTGTTTTCTATACTAAGAAGTTGGGAATTCAAGATGAAGCCTTTTTTGGTCTTTTCAGCTGAGTTTCTGCTTACTTGAAACATACAGTTTATTTATCTTTTAAAGTTCTATCAGCTTGGAGAAGGACTAGTAAATTTAAACATTATCAGTGGGAAGACGGAATGTGCAACCAAGTATGTTTCAGTTCATAGCTAAGCTAAAAAAAGGATAGTAGCCTGCTGATTTCAGCCTTCTCTCTGCTGCAACTGCGTCTGCAATAAAGGTTTATTTATGTACTTCAGTATATCTATATAGTACCATACACGTAAAATCCTACTCATTTTTGACTTGAAAAAGATTCAAATTAAAAAATACATTTTATCCTGCAGTTAAGTGTGAACATAGCCTGATTTACTATGCCTAGTTCAATAGACAACTATGTAGTGTTAAAAATTTAAGACATGATCTTCCAGGGTATGTCGCACTTTGAAATCTCTAAGAATTAGACAAATATAAAGAGAAAGATACTATATACAGGACTAGTTTACCCTCCTCCTTAGTTCAGAGGCCGTTAACATCCCTATTCCAGACTACCCTGAGAGAAGTCTAAGTTTCCCACACCCACATGAATCTTCAGCGATTTGCAAACATGTCAGAAATAAGCTGCATGGTAACTAGCTCTACGTGGAGACTGCTTACAGCATAAACAGGAAAGCATCACCAAAACCGTTTCCATCACATGAGGAAACTACAAGACAGGGTCTACGCAGAGATGTGAACAGTGCTAATTCTGTACATCATCCTACTGAGGACATGTGGCGCAAGCCTAGAAAGTACTGAAGAGTCTCTGTACTATTGGAATCTTTTCCTGTGAAAGATCACACAGGAGTGAAAATTGTATAATCCGGATATAACCTTTCTTAGCAATTCTTTAAAATACACAGATGAGAATACAGTCTGAAGGACAGTCTGTGTACAGGGGTAGCTACTACACCTGGCTCCTGAAGTGTAAGATGTTAAACTTTAAGATTTTATCTCCTTTAGAAGGTCTTTCTAGAAAGCTTCTCAATTCTCAGCCAGCAATCGTTTTCCCTAACCACACAAACAAGCCGTATTGCTTATTCTGTGAGGAGTCACATCATAAATACAGTGCTTAATACTGCTAAGACATAAGGAAGTAGTAATATAGCGGCCAAGGCACCAGAGCCCACTCAGGTGACAGGCGAGGTCCCAATGGTCCATTAGTAGAGTTATAACACTTTGGGAAAAGCACTTTATAAATAAAATATGAAAGTCTATTCAGAAGAGCTGAAAAAAGGTAGAGGAGATGGATCACGAAATGAGGTGTTTCCGGCATATTTATGCACACTAAGCAAGAACAAGTTCAGAGATTTTAGAAGACAGTATTGCAAGATCAGGATGGTTATAAGTGTTATGCACCTCAGTTTCACAGTACATCTCCGATCTCAGCATTGCAGAATAATCAGTAAGTCTATTTCTAATCTAGAATTACAAGTTAATGCCTGACACAAACTCAGCAAAGCTAGCAATTTCTTAAGACTGTCAGCGTGGTCTGAGCCAACCAATGTTTTTTTTTCCTTTCACAATGACTTCTTCATCAACTTCAAATTCTTACCAACAAACTCACCCGTTCCAAGTAAAACCAAACACCTGAAGTACAACAGGTAAAATTTTGAAACCTTTTCAAACTAAAAGGCAAGAACTTTGCTGTGCATTATGTTACTAGTGATGAAAACCAGCCAGAGACAGGGAACTGGCAGATAAGACAGGCAATGTCAGCAAATGTAGTCTCATTCAAACTGCCTGCCCCATCCTTGGGTTCTGCTGTTAGGATAACCACAAATAATGCATCATCAAGCAAAAATTTTATCTAGCCATTAAAGGCCTATTAAGCTATTTATTAAAATAATGCCAAATACTCAGTTATTTCTCACTGAATTATTTCCCTGCTTTTCAACATTGCGGTCAAAAACAGAAGGAAAAAAGTAAAGCCTTCTTTAATACTCTCTCTCACGTGGCAACCAATCTGCTGGATGCCAAGAAAATAACCATTTCTGATAAGACTGTTCATGAATTACAGCTTTAATAATTCTCTTAGAGCCTGTGTGTAAATGGCAGAACACATGCTGTAAGCCTCTGTCAAGAGAAAAAAGGTGCTGAACGTTGATACTCTAGCCAAAATAATCCCTTTAGAGACCATATTCTGTGCAAATTTTCCATGGAAATAGCAGGTCAAATTATGACTGCTGCATTGCAAAATGTGCCATTACAGATCAAAAAAGGAGACTAGCTAAAACCGCAAGGCTTATTAAACATGGAGGTGGGGTGGGGGAAGCTGACAGTGAACCAGAGAGGTTATGGTTAGAACAAAAGACACAGAACAAGATAGATTTGAACTGTTTATTTTACATCGGATGTTCCATACCAAAGTTTCTTCAGTTAGAAATTCCTAGAAAAGAAATGAAACAAAGTGTTACAAACTAGCACGCTTCAACAGCTTGAGTAAATGTTTTTGACCAACCGTATAAGCATGCTATAAATATAGTATATGCATGTCCATCCTAGAACTTAGGTTTGGGTAAAGAAATCATCCTTGCAAATGTTATCAAGGATGAGATAAACATACGTACTTGGAAACAATTCCATCATTTTTCGCCAGACGCAGAATGGAGTCATCCGATTCCCCCTTTAATAAAAAAGAAAATTCTGAAGAGGCCAAATAGTTGTTGACACACATTAAAAAGACAGAGAAGTAAGCTCACTGCATTTTATACGTGCAAATTACCATTTTTAAAACAAAGAAAAAGAAACAGTTTTTGCTTGAGAACATATACACTTGTACTAACAAGAGGTATTCCTGAGTAAACAGGCCTCTGACGAACTCTGGGAAGCTTCACACCACGTTTGTTTAATGTTTAAGTTATGATGGCACCAACTCTAATAATTACAAACAACAGATTAAAAAAGCAAAGAGATCAGTAGCTTGGTATATTTGTATAGAAAAAATTCCACGTTTATCTTTTTTTTCTTTAAGAGAAACATACATAATTCTCCAAACCAAAGAACTGAAAAAAAAATTCATAATAAACTGATTCTGCAAGTGAATTTCTTCATGTCTTCAACCTACTTTCATTATTCCAACAATGTGCCTTCACTTCATTCTAGAGGAAGAGGTTCTGTGTCTTTTTGGAATTATACATGGCCTAATCTTTTCCTGCAAGCAAAACTCGCATCCAAAGAATGACTAATCAATATCAAAGGCAGCACTATCATTTCCTATCATTTCCTTCAAGAAAACACTTACCATCCGACGAATTGCTCCACAAATGGCATATGTTTTGAACTGGCCATTGACTCTGCCCGTTACCTTGTCAACCTGTAATTACAAGCAAGTTACTCCATACAAACAGATTCTTACAGAATTCTTAGAAACTTGTATCACACTTGCAAAGCATTCAAAGATGAAAGTTACTTATTTATCAGGGGAAAAAAACCCCACTAATCACTATACACTGTGAAATTAAACCTTGTGGTGAAACCTATCATACTTCACTGCTTTGTTTTTGAGTTCTGCTAATCTCTGATCTTTTGAAAGCAAGAAACAGGGATCACGTAAGACATGAAACACAGTGAACAAGAAAAGTATCTGCCTTAATTTTTATGATTTCCTGTAAATGTTACTTTTTAGAATGTTCTGTTTAAGTCAAAGAGATAACTCAAGAGATCCAGTTGTTTAAAATATGGGAATATAGTCTTGTGGTCTCTCAATTATGACAAGAACAAATTCTTTTATGTTACAGAAAGAGAAACAAACGTAAAATACCACGTCAATATAAATAGTCAACACTTCCCAGATAAAGTTCTAAGCGTATAAATCCCAAAACACTGAGTTAATGAAATGATAACGCTGCACACAAGAAAGCAAGCAATCTCATTTGTCATCTATCAAGAGCAGCAGTGTTCTGTATTAACAGGAATGCGGCACACAAAACACAGATGATGGCACCCTAGTTAAGCGAAGTAGAACAGAAATAGACTCCTGCTCTGGAAACTACATCTTTCTTAAAGCTTGGACGAGCTAGAAAGAACACAGAGAAGATCAGCAAGAATATAAACGTATCAAACAAGATACACAAGGAAAGACGAAAGATTGCACTTTTTTAATAGACAGGTAAATGCTGAGGGAGTGAGTAAGAGTCTTCCAAAAGCAAGCATTTATTCTGCTTATTCCCTTCAGGATATGAGGATATGAAATCCCTGTATTTCCCACTTTAAATATTTAGAGTCAGGAAATTTTATTTAGTCTAGCAGTTAAGCACCGGAACAGACTATTTTCAGAGCTGATGAAATTCCTTCTACTGAGTAGTTTCCAATGAGTTAAAAAATAGCCAGAGGTGACTTAATAATATAACTACATGTTTGAAGACCCTCTAATTTCACTCTCATATGATGGCTAGTGAATTATTTGCAGATGCATCACAACCTTTTATAATCAATTTGCAGTTACAGCTTTCTCATCAGATATTTCTGTTACAAAACTCACCTCAGAAATATTTATCTGAATAGAAGCATGATCCTTGGCACCAATTATTCGGTTGCTAGCAGAGCTGAGGAATAAAATAACAAGGTATATTTAAAACAAAAGGAAACGGACAGTGACAGTGAACAGACTATTAAAGCCAAATCCACAAGAAGATGAAAGCTGCACAAAAAGTTTTGACAGTAACAACCAAAGTTTCCAGACACTCCAGACAATGTTCAGGAAGTTAAAATGCAGTTTTAAGACACCTTTAAAGGAGAGTAGCATTATGGCTAAATTGATAGCGTTGGTAGTGTTATGGTTAATTGCCTACTAATCCCTTCAATTTGTCCATTACATGCCCAGTTTCTTCCTATACAGTGCGCACAGTGGCATAGTCCTTCAAGCCACACACAGAATAAGGGTTTTTTTCTTTTCTAACATGCAAAAAATAAGAGCAATCAAGGTAATTCATAAGAATGCAGTTTCTACAGCTTTTTCATTGGGAGCTGTTACAGCTATCAAAAGACACTCAGGTTGTCTAATGTCAGTTGTCCAAGAAATCACACATTTCAAGAAATATTTACTTTTAAGAGTGACTAAAAAATAAGCCATTCGGGTGTTGCAACTTTTATTAGGTTTAATAAACGTATTTACAAGAAACTCCTCGTTGTCCGTTTGCTGTAATCTCTATGTTACGTTTAAGATGCGTTATCAAGGCAACGTGCAATTTAACAGGCTCAGACTTTCTTAACACAGAAATGCTACAGTGCTACAAATACGCACGTGCACTTCTCCTGAAAGCAGCTGCAGATTAGCTGCTACTGCCACTGTGAGGTTAACTGCTATGTAGCAGAACAAGTACAACTTTCTTTTTAATGACTTAGTCTCCACTAAATGTGCTTAATTTTAGATATTTAAGAAAAGCTTATGCATGCTTTCAAAAGGAATTGAGATGTTTACATGCTAAGTTTCCTCCGAAATATACAAATAGAAAACTTTCAGGCTGGGCTGTCTCAATTCAGAGAAAGGGCACAACCATATATTCATGTAATAGAAACGATGGCAGCTCACCAAAGCATTGGGAAGTACTAGCACAACGGTGGCAAATAAGCAGTAAATTAGAAACGTGGTTAATCTCGTTCAAAGAAATCGGTATAAAAGAGCAGATAGGGGAAACCAATAGAAAAAAAGAAAAGCATTGATGTGATTTATTTTCACAAAATTGTTAAAAATAGCGCTTATTTCATTGAGTAAAGGTGGTTACTGTTACACGGGAACGGCCGCCGCACACGTCAGCCTCCGGACA